AAGGAGATCAGTCTTGAATATTCATTGGAAGGACTGATGCTGAAGCTGAAACTCCAATACTTTGGCCACCTTATGTGAAGAATTGACTCATTTGAAAAGACCGTGATGCTAGGAAAGATTGAAGGTGGGAAGAGAAGGGGATGATAGAGGATAAGATGGTTGGATGGCATCATCAACTCAATGGACATAAGTTTGAATAAACTCTGGGAGTTGGTGATAGACAGGGAGACCTGATGTGCCGCAGTCCATGGGCTTGCAGAGTCAGACATGACTGAGCAACTGAACTGAACTGAAAGGTAATAGTTAATATTTGTTCAAATCAGAAGTATTAACATTGAGATTGTAAAGTAATTTTAATCCACATAAATAAAATGAAATTTTATTTTAAATCATCAGTGATTGACATACTAGGAAGAAATTTAGAACATGCTTCTATAGCAGTCTTGTTTTCCATTTGAGTTTTATTTTTCTTTCTTTTACAGACACTCACACAGTCAGGGGAAGTTTGTGTTTGGGGTATAGAGGATGGTGCTTGTGTCAGCAGGATTTATCTGAATATCCAAGTAAGTGTGCCTTATAAATGGATTTTTAAAAAATATTGAATTCTAATCCAACCTACCTTTTTGTGTTCACATGTCAATAGTCTGTGGAAATACTTGTTACAGAGACGTTAATGTATTTTACCTTATATGTTTAGAGTAATTCTTGTGTATAAAGTATGTTCCAAAGCCCAGAAGGTAGAACATAAGGTATTGTATTGGTATATGAAAAAGAACAAACTTTTCCTTGGTGGCAATTATTTCTGAAACCCTAGTGATTTATATCTCACTCATGCTGCAAATTCATTGTGGATTGACAGGATCTCTTTTCCCCAGTGGTCTTTCAGGGAACAAAGCCGACAGGGGCTCCACCAATTAATAGCTCCTCAGTACCATGGGATGGGCTTCCCACATGGCTCAGTGTTAAAGAGTCCGCCTGACAATGCAGAAGATGCAGGTGACGAGGGTTCGATCTCTGGATTGGGAAGATCCCCTGGAGGAGGAAATGGCAACCCACTCCAGTATTCTTGCCTGAAAAATTCCATGCATAGAGGAGCCTGGCAGGCTACAGTCCATGGGGTCACAAAGAGTTGGACACAACTGAGCGACTGACCACGCATGCATACCATGGGATGGGAAGAGTTCTGGAGAGTCTTGAACTAGCAATTAAGTGTTTTTAATAAAAAATGAAACATTCCTTGGCCGTAACTAGGTAGATGGCCCCATCTAACCTCAAGGGAATCAGTTAGAAATGAAAGAAAGGTGCCACTCTAACCAGCTTGAGCCAAAAATGAAAAAGTGTGGGCCATTGACTCAGTTAACTATACAATATAGAGCTTCTCTGGGCTCAGCTGTGGCTTTATCCAGCAACTCAAATGATATTACCAAGGATCTTGTCTTTCTGTCTGTCTGTGTACTATGTCTTAATTTCTTTTTTGTTTTTCCATGTGTAACCATTGGTTTTATTTATTTATTTTTTCCATTTATTTTTATTAGTTGAAGGCTAATTACTTTACATCATTGCATGGTTTTTGTCATACATTGAAATGAATCAGCCATATGTCTTAATTTCATCTACGACTTCGTGTGATACCCAGATGCCACAAATACCAACCTCACATCAGATCATCAGGGAAGAAAACCTCCTACAATGGGAGGTTTTGTAAATATATCCTAATATCTTAATAACACCCCTGAACTAATCACTGTGGACAAGGGCATGAGAAATGCTAGTTGGCTTAAAATCAGCCTTGGAAATGAGACTTAGATCTGTTCCACTCAACTGAAAATAGAAGAGAGATGGTTTCTTAAAGGATATTCAAGAAATTTTCCAGAAGGAAGGTGTATGTATGTTGGGTGGCAAACTATAGTTGCTCACATAAACCTAAGCATAACCTACCATAAGGTGATACCATTCTTTCCACCATGGTCATGGTGCACATAAAAATATTTTAAAAGTATAAAAAGACCAAGAAACAATGGTAAGACTATTTTTTTCTTAAGTTATCATTTTTTTCTATATTACATAATTCTCGATGAGATATGGATCTAAATAGTAGAAAGAAAAGTTACAATCCTTCTCTATTGTAAATTAAAATATCAATTAATAATGCAAGATGAAGCATCATACTTCATATAAGAGGATACAAGATGCAAAAGATATATAATTCAATGAGATAAATAAACTTATCCTAAAAAGTAAAGATAAAAATTCTTACCTAAAAGAACATGTGTAGACTCCATGCAGTGTGGCAAATGTTTATATGTATTCATTTCTGTTAGAATTACTAGAACTAGAAAAATCTTAAAGTTCATCTGATCACACCTCCTTTTACAGATGAGAGACGTACAAACCTAAGGGTTTGTATAATCAGAACTTACCTTGCACTTCCTGGCTAAGGAGGGATAGGAAAGTCGCTCAGTCATGTCCAACTCTTTTCGAGCCCCTATTCATTGGTGGAGCCTCTGTCCGCTTTGTTCCCTGAAAGACCATGTGGGAAATGAGATCCTGTCAATCCACAATGAATTTGCAGCATGAGTGAGATATAAATCACTAGGGTTTCAGAAATAATTGCCACCAAGGAAAAGTTTGTTCTTTCCCATATACCAATGCAATACCTTGGGCTATACAGTCCTTGGATTTCTCCAGGCCAAAATACTGGAGTGGGTAGCCTTTCCCTTCTCCAGAGGATCTTCCCAACCCAGAGTTCAAACCCAGGCCTCCCACATTGCAGGCAGATTCTTTACCAGCTGAGCCACAAAGGAAGCCCAAGAATACTGAAGTGTGTAGACTATCCCTTCTCCAGTGGATCTTCCCAACCCAGGAATCAAACCAGGGTCTTCTGCATTGCAGGTGGATTCTTTACCAACTGAGCTATCAGGGAAGCCCAGGGAGGGATATAGTTACCATCAAAAGACCTCTTTCTGCTTCAGATACCTTCCTTTCCCCTGACCAGAAGGGAGAGATTGGGCAACTGTCACAGTTAAGCAGACATCCCTTCATTGAGCTCAACACCAAGTATGGTACATTCATGTAGATCAGCCTTTGTTGGGGAGAATCAGTGATTTTTTCCTTACTGAAGATTACTGCTACCCTCTGGAGAATTGATAAATTGGTTGATCCAGCAGTACAGAGGCTAGATCTCCCTGCCTATGCCCAGGACTGTATTCTCCATGAACATTTTAGGTAGTGGTCCTCAGAGAACCCTGCTTAGCATCATGATGGCAGGATGCCCAAACACTAGTACCTTCACTTGGTGTTACCTGCTAGGGTAACTAAGATCCCTCCAAATATTGCTATATATTTTTAGCCTAGTCAACTATTGCCCTGGAATGGAGGTTAATTTCAACTGATTGTGTTGAGCAAACACAGATACACACACACACTAAGAGCTCCCATAAAGGTTTTCAGCTAAAAAAAACCCCAAACCCTCACCACTTTGTTCCCAGTTTCACACTGCTGCTGCTGCTGCTAAGTTGCTTCAGTCATGTCTGACTCTGTGCGACCCCATAGATGGCAGCCCACTAGTCTCCGCTGTCCCTGGGATTCTCCAGGCAAGAACACTGGAGTGGGTTGCCATTTTCTTCTCCAGTGCATGAAAGTGAAAAGTGAAAGTGAAGTCGCTCAGTCGTGTCCAACTCTTATCGAGATACCAATAATAAAAAAAAAGACTCAACCTGGTTAAGCCTCAGAAAATTCACTTTAAAAAGTAAAATGAAAACCTGCTCAATGGAGAAACTGCATTCTAATGAGGCAGGACACCTGAGTTTTCCTCTGAGCTTTGTTATCAGCTTTGGGATCCTGGGGGCAAATTGCTACATTTTTCTTTGCCTCTGCTTTCTAATCCGCAAAAGGATGATCTCAAGATCTTTTCTATTTCTAACATTCTGTTAATTTTATTTAAAACAACCTCCAAAATATCATTATGTTCGTACAGGGGTCCCCCTCTCTGGTGTTTCTTGTGCCAATAGAGCAAGACTGAGTTCGGTTCAACAGCAAAGGAAAATCTTATTCTTTGATCAGAGGGTGGAGAGGTGGAGCTCTCCTTCTAGAGCACATGCTTTCGTCACAGGGCGTGGCTGAGGCTGCTCTATAGAGTTCTCCTTGGGGGCGGGCAGACCTGGCCATGCTGCTCCCCTTGAGACCCAAGTTCTGGGTGCCGCATCTCTGTGCACAGCCACCCCTACTGCCATCCAAAGTCTTGAATTGAGGTGTTACTGGCAGTACATCTCCACACAGCCACGGAGTTGAGGTGTTGCAGCGGTCTAACACTAAGAACTCTGGTCTGAAGTGCTGGGTGCGAGACTGCTGCACATGTACCCTGTGAGCAGGTGAAATTAGACTAAAGCACAAATGAAGAGCTTAGACCTTATCACCTAGTTTCCATCTGACTTTTCCGGGGGACCCCAGTGGGCTTTGTCAGTGAAAACTATAGAGAAATGAATCTGATCCTTAAGTATCATGACCACAGATTTGTTCTCTTAGATATCATCTTCTGTAAATGACTGTTAGATAAGCAGGAATCTGTGATGTGTTTCTTTGGTGACAGGCCATGTGCTCCATGATACGGTTATTTTTTCAAGTCTTCCTCAGTTATACCAGCATCCCAGGATCTAATATTATCCAGCAGATGAATGCTGATTTTTATAAATCACTAACATTCAATAAAGATGTCCAAAAGATTCTAGGAATATATTTTAAATTTCCTATTTTATTTTTCATTATTATCGGGTATAATCATTTTCTAATCAATTAAGGATAAAAATGAAGCCATGGTTTAAAGTTCAGGAAATTTTCTCATATTTTTATCATTCCAATCTTAGGATAAAAGAGTGTGATATTTAGATTCCTATGACTTCTTATGTGATTGATTAGCTGAAGAATGTTGAGTGTATAATTTGTAATATCACATGATACTTGCCACTCTTCTCGTTCTGCAGGCTTTTCAAATAAACTGTAGAACTCTTAAGTGTAGGAAAGCAGGCTTCATTTTCTGGTGCAGTGAAGCTGGGGTTTAATTTATTTTATTTTTTATTGAAGTTAATTGATTTACAGTATTGTGCTAATTTTTCAGGTGAACAGCATAGTGATTCAGTATTTTTGTAGAGTATACTCAATTATAGCTTATTATAAGGTTAGTGGGTATAATTCCCTGTGCTATACAGTGGACCCTTTTGCTAATGTGTTTTATATCTAGTAGTTTATGTCTGTTAATCCCATGCCCCTATTTTACCCTGCCCCCCTCTCTCTCCTTTGGTTTTCCATATCTGTGAGTCTGTTTCTGTTTTGCATCTGTCTTAAACAGGCAACAGTTCTGGCCTGCTCTCCTTCCTCCCTCTCTGCGGCTGTGGGGACCGAGGATGGCCTTGTCCACTTCCTCGACGTCCGGGATGTCGAATCCCCTCGTGAAGTTCATAAGGCCTTTCTCTCTGAATCACCTGTGCAACACCTCCTGTAAGTGCCGCCTGTTTCTGGCAGCAACTTTGTCAGGTCTGTCTGTTGAGAATTCCACTGAAGTTTTAACTTTTTTTAGGTTTTACATGTGTTGTTTTGAAAATTAGTATATTGACTCAGTTCTACATTCAAGAAATACAGAGGTGTATATAGTACAATACAGTTTCCCACTGTTATCCCCAAATACCCAGTTCTCCTCTTTGACGACAGCTTGTTACTAGTTTCTTGTGTCTTTTTACTGGACATATTTTATTCACAAACAAGCAGAAAAATAAGTACTTCCTTTTAATTGCATGAATGTTTATCAAGCACTTAGAGTGTACCAGGAACTTCTGTTATATTAACCTCATGAGATAGGTATTCTTATTGTTTCCATTTTAAAGATAAGGAAGATGATACACAAAGAATTTAAATAACTATTAATATCACACATGTTGTAAATGGAAAATGTTGAGATTTGAACCCAGGCAATTGGGCTCCAGAGTCATTGCCTTTGCTCTTACAGGGTAGCAAACCATATATAATGTTCGGCAGCACAATTTTTTTCACTTAATGGTATATCTTAGAGAAAGTCTTCTATCCACACATGAAGACCTTCATTCTTTTTTACAGCTACATAGTATTCCATCACATGGAATACATTCCATAATTTTTTTAATTTTTATTTTTCCCATTTATTTTTATTAGTTGGAGGCTAATTACAATATTGTAGTGGTTTTTGCCATATATTGACATGAATCAGTCATGGATTTACATGTGTTCCCCATCCTGATCCCTCCATAATTTTTAGGACAGTATATTGATAGGCATTTAGATGATTTCAAATTTTTTGAAACAGTGCTTTTTAGAAGACTGCATAGAGACACCGAGTTTGGACTTTTTATATTGTTATTATTGTATCTTTGATTAATTTATCATAATGCTAAGTATTAACAAGAAATGACATTTTTGCCCTGCTTCACAGCTTGATGTGCTGTTACACATTGTAGTTTATTGAATGTGACACTTGTCAACATTCAGGAAAGTATTACGCTTGTCCCTGTTTCACAAGTGAGATAATTTAGGTTCAGAAAGAAGCATTTGCCAAGATTAGTCAGCTAGCACTGGAAGGAGCTGGGTTTCCATCTGTGCTGTTCCTACTCGCTCTGCTGCCTCTGCAGGGAAGGACCTGTAATCTCTCTCCATTTACATTCCACTCCTCTGTATCATCTTTTTGGCACCTCTCCTTTCTCAGATGTTTCTCTCTTATCCTAATTTGCATTTCCCACTTTTTCTAATTTGATCAAAGTATAGAAACATTTTGCTACAATCTTCTTCTTTCTGCCAGGACTGGTACTGAGGGGCATTGGAATGCTCCACTCATCTCTAATTTGAGAATTGCTTATGTCCACCTGAAATATCAGAAAGCTTTACTGTCATGTTTTGTTCACTTACGATGACATAGTTGCCCATTTTTAGTGAATCTTCTTGACCATATATTTACAAGTTACAATTTAGAAACAATGTTAGCCTAAAATGTAATGATTACATTTATGTATATTCACTTACCTTTTATAAGGTCTGATAATATTAAAAATCATAAACCATAAGAATAATTGGTTTTGAGTGTATCTCCATGATGTCTTTCAATAAATTTGTTTACCATCTTATTAGTGAAACAAATAGAATCTGATGATCAGATTTCTTCTTTTCTAGGTATGACCAGAGAGGAATGTATGTATTAGTTGGAACATCAGAAGGACACATCTTTGTTATCAATGCCAAACCCTCAAGTTCATTTGAGATTCTTGGATTCATAGGTACTTACACTGAATTCTTTTTTTCCCCTATCTGGGCAGCATGTGGGATCTTAGTTCCTTGACCAGGGATCAAACCTATGCCCCCTACCCTGGGAGCACAGAGTCTTAACCACTGGATTGCCAGGAAAGTTGCCACAGAATGCTTATTAACTTAAGATATTGGTCAATTTATTCTAAAGAATTTAAAGTTGTGAAAACGGGGCCATGGTGAAGCAATTACTTGTAGCATGTTTTCTAAAACAGAAACATTTAAATAGCTGTTCAAAGTTACTAAGGAGAATTCCCATATCATATTTAGAGGTTTTGGTACATCTACTTGGTATATAGTTGATATTAAATAACTCTTCTTGAATCAGTTAATGAATTAATGAAATGGCTAAATGTTTCTAGTGTTACTGCAAATGGAAGTTGAGTTGGTTTATCCCTGAAATACTTAAAAAAAAATATTTATTTATGTATTTGGCTGTGCTGGGTCTTAGTTGCCACACCAGAATCTTTAGTTGTGGCATGCAGTATCTACAGTTGCAGCATGTGGAATCTAGTTCCCCAACCAGAGATTGAACCAGGCCCCCTGCATTGGGAGTGTGGAATCTTGGCCACCGAACCACCAGGGAAGTCCCAAAATAACTTTTTAAATAATATTTGATCTCTATTTAATTAAAATATCTAAAGAAAGTTTTGTTACATGCATCTTTACTCTGTGCTTTCACAACCGAGGGCTCGGGTTCAATCCCTGGTTGGGGAACTAAGATTCCGCAAGGCATGTGGTGTGGCCAAAAATAAATAAATGAATAAAAAATTTTTTTAAATGACATTCAGCTTTTTCAGTAATGTGTGTCCAAATGCCCAGGTAAACCACAGAACTGACAGGCGAGATAGCACTTTGGTGATAAATAATAAGAACTAATACTTTTCTCTCTGGCTTTATATTCCAAATGTAAATGTAAATTTTCAAATGTATGTACTGATTTTTAAAAATTGAGTGCCTACTAAGTGTAAAATGCTGAACCTAGGCCCTGTGGAAGCATGAAAATGTCAAGGAAGGAATTTAGTGGAGGAGGAATAGCAGAGTGCTATGTAGGCTCAGGAAAAGAAGTAATTAATTCTCAGGTGTGAAGAAAGGAATGGAAGTGAAGAGGAGGCACAGAGAATATGGAGCAGGAGAATTTTGCAAGGATTTAAAGTAGTGGAGGATGGGGCTTGTTGGCATTCTAGCTCGGGACAAAAGTTTGAGCAATGGCACTTGAAATGGTAAGAAGTCTGGCATAACAAGTATATGAGTTTACCAGATTATGATCATGATGACAAGGTTTGAAACAAAGTGGAGGGTCTTGAACATCATCCCAATGAGTCTGGGCTTTGTTCTGTAGTTAATGACACATCATCAGACGTTTTCAAGATGGGACTAGTGTGATTTGATTTGGTTTTTAGAGGACGACTCTGGCATCAGTGTGAAGGCTGGAGAAGAAAGGCAAGAGAACAGAATAAAAAAATTCAGAAAAACATTATAGTAACTCACACAAGAAATGCTGTTAGTCATAACAAAAGCCAACACTTATTGAGGGGGTCCTTATCATGTAATATCCAGTATTCTAAGTACTTGGCATGTGTTAATTCATTTAATTCTTATAGGCAACTTTTGTGAGGTAGAGACCGCTGTTATGCCCAGTTTAAAGATAAGGCAATTGAGGCACAATGAGGTTAAGTATTTGTCCAAAGCCACACAGGTAGCCAGGACTCAAGCTCAGAAAGTCTGGTTTCAGAGCTTACGCTCTTATCCACAGCATACAAGATCATGCAGCAGTCATGGAAAGGGGAAGGGGTGGACAGTTATGAATGATGGAATTGGTAGGACTTGATAATTGATTGTTATGTGAGAGGAAGGGATCAGCAATGACTCTGAAGTTTCTAACCCAGATGGTGGAAGTTTGTGCTGTCATCAGTTGAAGTAAAAACTCAAGGGAGAAGAAAGTTATGGAGGCTGAGATAGGGTGAGCTGACAAGCTCTGTAGAGTTGAAGCCAATAAGATCTTCATTTGGAGATATTTACCATTAATTCAGAAATGAAGATTTGTAGTTCGAAGTTTAATGATAGAATTCTGAACTTGAACTAGAACGCTTTCTAACACCATACACAAAAATAAACTCAAAATGGATTAAAGATCTAAATGTAAGACCAGAAACTATAAAACTCCTAGAGGAGAACATAGGCAAAACACTCTCCGACATAAATCACAGCAGGATC